TCATAAAGTGTGGTGTCAAGGGAATAAAAGGGATATAAGGGGTGCAGGAAGGAGGAAATGGCCACTAGTCCCAAATTCTGCTGATAAGAGGAGGACGAAACCGAGTCTTGCATTTCTTGGTCCAAGTGTTAAGTAGTGATCTTATGAAGAGGGATTTCAGTGGAGTGATGGATGGTTTAGAAGTCAACTCGGGTATAATGAAGAGTGGTATATGAGGAAATGGACACCACTACTATAGACAGTCTTTTGAAGAAACTTAGATGTGGAAGGATGGAGTCGATAACTAGGTGAGGATGCCGAATTAAGGGAGAACGTTTTCAGATGGAAGAGGCTTGAACATGTTCAAGTGCAAATGGGAAGGAATCTAAACAGGGACTAAGTGAGGGGAAGAACTAGAGACTTAAAGGACAAGAGAGTGAAAACAGGTTGCATCAGTCACTTCAGAAAGTAAGAGAGTGAGTTGGCTATAGAATATATTAGAATAACACAGAAGGCTTTTAAAGGCTGCTGGTGATGAATTTGTAATGTTTCTAATCTGCCTGTCACATAATTCTTTTCAGCAACTGCTCAGGCATTCTGGTGCAGGAATGGAGAACCCGAGGGGTAGGTGTGGTCCATCCAGAAACGGCAGAGGCAGAAGAGCAAGGGGTCTGGTGTATAGGCAGAGTTGGGTTAGATTTTGTGGAGTCTGAAATTACACTATTTTGGAAGTGTTCTTTAATACAAAATACGTAATTGTGAATTCACATTATTAACAGTCTTAGAAGGATCCCAAGAGGGTGAAGGACTACAACATGGATGCTTCGTTATCTTATGGTATATTTGCCTCTGTGTGCAAAGGTCTTGCTTAAATAATGGACCCTGGGCTATCCCTCATTTGAAAAATCTGCACTGCATTTCAAAAGTTCAAATACACAAAAATAGGACTGGCTTTAGCCAAACTGAAAGTTTACCCAGCCTAAATTTTGATTTCTAACTGTACCATCTTCACTGCTTTAGTACCACATTAACAAATTTATGAACATTAACAGGTGCACATTAATATACTTCAATATAAAAGAGTCTCTGAGATAGTCTAATACAATCTCAAAGACTGAGCATTTTGCATCCATTGCTATCTATTAAGAAACAGGAATAGTGAGTGAAATTGAACTTTCATAATAAGTCCTAACTGACTAATCTATTCCTGTAAATCATTCTGGAATAGCATCTTGAATCTCAGCAGTAAGAGCTATAGGATCCCAAAGGAACAAAGTACTGTGTATACTCCATACATGTGCTGAAAGTACGCAGGAGAAGAACAAAGGAATGCTACTGGAGCAACCAAGGCCAAGTTGAAGTGTGCACAAACCGCCCGGACACACTGGTAGGAAGGGCACTCACTGCGGTCTGCCCACCGAGAAGCAAAGCAGACACTTTTATTCCCTCCACCTTGGACCACCCAAAAGATGAAACTCAAATGTTACTTAACTCTGAATAGTTATAGGCAATATATAGGTCCTCAGTGTTAAAATGAAACTATTAGTTAAGCAATCACATGACTCCCATTCCATGGTTCCCTTTAGTCTCTGTTGTGCAGATGCACTAAATAGTGAGGGAAATAGACTCCTTTTAAAAATAGCATACATCATTTTACCATGAATCAGAAAACCAAAGGCATATCTTACTTCTGTCACTTTTTGCGGTGTGATGCTTCCTTCATATGGACAGCCCAGGGCACAAGACACATACCTAGATTTAAAATACAGAACCATATAAATATGAGTATGGTGGATAAGCCGCTTCCTATTTTCCATTTTATAAAAATAAAGCAATAGCCCCCCCCCCCCAAAAAAAAATCATCATGAAATTTTACTTTACATCCTTCAGTATTGTTTTATGCTCAGACCAAACAAAAATAATTTCAGAAAATTTTCAATTTAACTCACATGTTCATCTTCCTAATAATTACAATTTGATATATGTTATTTGATGGTAGATGGGAATAAAATATAGGTGCTTATCCTATGGGATTGTTTCTACTATAGCAATATGTGGACATTCAAAGCGGAAAATACCAGGGAAATATAGTTTGATTTAAATAAGTATATACATTCAACTGTTAACTATCCAGGTTTTTGGAACCACAGAGAAAGATCATGTAGATGACTAACTGAACTTTGCCCTTCACTCCCATCTGGATGTCTTGGCCTCATTTAGAGAGTCATTAATCACCCCCAAAACTCTTAGAACTGGCCACAATCTCAAAGTTCATCTTGTTTATCTCTCGTGGCTGTACCTAAATCATCCCAAACAGAAGAGCAGCTAGTCTGCTTTTAAAAGGCTCCAAATAAGGATATTCCATAAGCTTCTTCAACAATTTAATATTAAAAGTCAAGCCTTTCCTGCAAGGACAATGATACATTTCCATCTTAAAGTATTAAGCTTTAGAAAAAGTCTGCTTTCACTATTTTCAGCTCAACACCAATCCTATTTTATTAAACTTTCCTCAGAGACTTTACAACGCTTGCATTAAAATCATGTATCATGCATCTGATGGTCAGGAATGAAGCAATTCACAGGAGGAAGAGGCAGGTGGTGGGAAATGAGGCTGCAGATCCAGATCCTCAGACCAGAATATGAGAGGTTTTAGATAGCAAGGGCCTTGAATGCCATGCCAAGAGTCTAAACTTTGAGATCATTCAAACTTACTTTGGGGCACTCAAAATTATTAGGTAAGTTATTGACAAGATCAGATTTGTTTTCCAGAAATGTAACTCCTTGGGAATGCTAGAAGTGGTTACCAGAAGAAAGGTGGAGGCAAAAACAGAAGAGAAGAAAAAATCATATTTCCTTGATTCTAAAATGCTGTCGACTGGAAGATATACTATGGATTTCATTACAGGTTTTGGAGTAAGAAAATATAATATATAGTAAATAATTCAATCCATATCCATTGATTCTAAAGATGTAACCTAATTTCAATGTAAATATGAATAAAGTTGTGTTTTGACATTAAATAAGCCGTTATGAGGACAGGGAAGGAGAAAGAGGGCAAATTCAAGTAAAATTTGACAGTCCTGCTGGACAGGGAGCCCATCTCTCTGCTTTTCTAATTACTAGAAACTAAGTTTATTGTTTGATTAATCTATACATTTGATCAAGATATGTGAAATTGAAAAATGTACTTCTGCAAGCATAACATTAGAGAAGGTTAGGTCTAAGGATGTAAAAGAGTAAATATTTTCATTGAATTTATTGGGGTGACATTGATTAATAAATGCATATAAGTTTCAAGTGTACAACTCAAAAATACATCATCTGCACACTGCATTGCACACCCATCACTCCAAGCAAAGTCTCTTTCCATCCCCACTTACTCCCCCGTTGCCCACCTCCACCTAGCCCACCTCCCTTTTCCTATGGCTATCACCACACTGTTGTCTGTGTCTATGAGTTATGCATATATGTTCTTTAGCTAATCCCTTCACCTTCTTTCATCCAGTCCTCCCACCCACCTCCCCTCTGACTACAGCTGTCAGTCTGTTCATGTATTCTTGCCTCTGGATTGTGTTTATTTTGTTCATTAGATTCCACATATAACTGAGATCATAGGGTATTTGTCTTTCTCTGACTGGATTATTTCATTTAGCATAATAACATCCAGGTTGATCCAAGCTGTCACAAAATGTAAGATTTCCTTCTTTTTTATGGCCGCATAGTATTACATTGTATAAATGTACCACTGCTTTTACATCCACTCATCTTCTAATGGGAACTTGGGCTGTTTCCAGACATTAGCTATTGTAAATAAAGTTGCAATGAACATAGGGATGCATGTATTCATTCGAATTAGTGTTTGGGGATTCATAGGCTATATTTCCAGAAGTGGGATAGCTGGATCACATGGCATTATTTTTTTAATTTAGATATAATGATTATAGATAATGTGTTGGAAATATAAGTACACTGAATCTGAACTCAACATATCTAGATGTGATTAAATAGAAAACCCAAGCCATCCATTTATATGCTGTTCCTCTAAATGTGAAAAATACAATAAGCAAAAAATAGCAAATGCAAAACAATATGAAACTAACCTTTCCTGTATTTCTATTACCTGGCCATAGCTACCACTCTGTACCATAACCCTAAGTCTCTCTGAGTACATTTTTATTCACTCAAGTTTTCCTGCTAGTCTTTTCCAGGCCTATGGCTTGCCTGGTCTTCACACTCCATGATATTTCATCTTTCTATGTTCTCCATCTTTGTAAGTTGGGTAGTCACTTCTTTAACCTATTTATACATGGGGCTACTTCCTCCAAAGTGAATGTGATGGTTCTCAACTGTGTTCAGTCACTGCACTTTAACCCTCTAAAACAGAGGGCAGAAAACTAAGGCACACAGCAAGACCTCCTCACCACTCTTTAGCAAATAAATTTTTATTGAACCAAACCATGCCCATCTGTTTAGCTATAACCCATGGATACTTTTGTATTGTAATAGCATAGCTGAGTGGTTGAAATGGAGACCATCAGAAACACAAATCCTAAAACATTACTCTCTGGCCTTTACAGAAAAAGCTTGCCAACCACTGGCAAAAGGAAAGGCATTATCATGAGTGCGAAAATATGCTGCTTTGTCTACTTGGACTAGTGGCTAACAGCAGTTTCTAGACCTCCGCTCTTTTCCAATAATCTACGACAGTGGTTCTCAAACTCAGCTGTACAGAATCACCTGGGGAGCTTAACAAACAAAACCAAACCCTGGTGAGTAGGATACTCTCCAAACTAGTTGAATCAGAGACTTAGAAAATGGAATCCAACCTTTAATATTTTAAAATTATTTTTAAAGTTCCATTATTTGTTAAGTTGAAAACCACTCAGCTATTAGTAATACTGCCTTATCTGGAGTGCCTGATTGAGTCCTTTATATAAAAAGTGATATTCAATAGACCTGATAGTCTCTAATCTCAGGAATTTCCTGGCTACTATGCCACAGCACTTTTACCCATCTTTGAAAGGCTTGTGGTTAAAGTTATAATTTTTACTTAGTGTGTTCTCATGGCGATTTTAGTTTCTGTTGGAGTTCCACAAGAGTCTTGTATTATTTAAATGTCCCTAAGAAGGAAACCTGACTTCCTTGCCCTTGCCCTGAGATCTTTACCAGTCCCTGGACAAATTTCTGCCTTAATTTCTCAGTTGGATTTCTACAGTACCCATGTGTTACAAATCCACACTATACATGGCATAGGTTCCAGTGACTGCATTGGCAAGCAAGTCTTTTCAGGCTCCAAGAATGCTCAGTTACAAATCCATGTTTTAGCAGAACATCTATCTTTTCTCATGTAGACATTAAAATCCTATTTCTAAGCCACGAGGGACTATAGCTAGGATGGATACCCGTGTGTTAGTGGCATCAACCAGCATGCTAATCACATTTTTTTTTTATAAAATCTTGGGACTTTTCTTTATTTTCTTTTCTTTCCTTTTCTTTTCTTTTCTTCTTTTCTTTTCTTTTCTTTTCTTAGAATGGCTATATGTTTTAAAAGTTGTTATATTTTTGTGTTTGCAATGGGAATAGAAAAAGGAGTCCCTGCATCAGCTCAGTCCTCCTCTCTCTCACCATATGCAGATAACTCCAGGGACAACTTCCAATCTCGTGAATATTATGAATCGATTGCTTGCCACATTCAGATGACATATTAAGCTCAATCTGTCCAAAATGATGCTCATCCCTATTTCCCCTGCATTTTCCATTTTTTAAAAACACCAGAGTCATTTCCAAAGTCTGTCCTGCTAAATCACTCAAAGGTCACCTTTGAGAACATATTCGAAGTTTAGCTAATTCTTCTCCTGCAGCCTCTACAGCATGTGGCCTCTGCCAATGACAGCCCAAGTACACACAACAGCCCCTGCGTCCCCTCTCCAGGACAGCCATAGACGTCTCCTACATGCTCTCCGTGCCTCTAGTCTCTTACCGCTCATTTTCCCTCCAGGTTCTATTGCCAAAATGATATTCTTAGAGAATAGATCTCATTACATATTTTTCCACGTTGAAAATCTTTTACGGGCCTGCCATTGTCTACCAAATAAGCTTACTATTCAAGTTCAGCAATTTGTGAAAACTCAATGTAACTTTCTTTTTTTTAAAAAAAGTATATTTTTATTGATTTCAGAGAAGAAGGGAGAGTGAAAGAGAGATAGAAACATCAATGATGAGAGAGAATCATTGATTGGCTGCCTCCTGCATGCCCCACACTGGGGATTGAGCCTGCAACCCGGGCATGTGCCCTGACTGGGAGTTGAACTGTGACCTCCTGATTCATAGGCTGATGCTCAACTACTGTGCCACAACAGCTGGGCTTCAGTGTAACTTTCTTCCTCTCTTCCATTCACAGCCTCCAAAACTCCTATTCCAGTAAAAGTAAACTTCTTCCTGTTACTCAAACATTTCTTGAGATTTCTCTTCACTATTCCTTTGCTCCTTGTAGATTTCCTACCCTGATTAAAAAGGCCACCATTTCTGAGTATATTTCATATATTTACCTATCTTTAATGACTTTATTTTGCAGTTAATACCTTCTTCATGAACTTTCTCCAAATAACTCCAGAAAAATTTTAAATAGTATTACTTTAAACTTAATAGGATTTATCTGTATCTCGGTTACTGTACTTGCCTTTTTTTGAGCAATATAATAATTATTACCATTCTGCTGGTAACTCTGAAATCAGACAATTTTTTCATTTTCA